CACCAGGTTTTGGTATCAGGGCAATTTTGGCCTCATAAAATTAATTATAAAGTATTGCTTCTTCTCCAAATTTTTGGGAAACTTTGGAAGGATAGGTATTAAATCTTTTTGAATGTTTGGTAGAATTCACTAGTGAAGCCATCTAGTTCTGGAATTTTACTTTTCGGGAGATTTAGATGATTATTTCAATTTTCTTACTGTTGATTGGTCTATTTAGATTTTCCAGTTCTTGATACTACAGTCTAGGAAGATCATATATTTTTAAGAACTTGCCCATTTCTTCTAAGTTATTGAACTTTGTGCTATATAGTCTTTTATAGTATTTTTGTATGCTTCTTTGTATTCCTGTGGTGTCCATTTTAACTTCTCTTTCATTTCTGAATTTGTTTACTTAAGTCATTTATCTTTTTTTCTTAGTGTGTCTAGCCTGAGGTTTATCAATTTTATTAATTTTTTCAAAGGATCAGCTTTTTGTTGAATCATTTTTTTCTATTGTCTTTTTTGTCCTTCGTTTCATTTAATTTTGCTCTAATTTCCTTTAATTTTGCTCTAATTTTTATCATTTCTTTTCCTCTGCTGATTTGAGCTTTATATGCTCTTATTTTTTCTAGTTCTTTAAGTTACAGTGTTAGGTTGTTTATTTGAGATTTTTCTTGTTTCTTGAGATAGGTCTGTAATGGTATAAAATCTCTTATTACCACTTATACTGTATTCCAAAAGATTTGATACAGTGTATTGTTATTCTCATTTGTCTCTATACTTGCGTTGACCTCTCCTTTTATTTTTCTTTCACCCAGTTGTTATTCAGTAGCATATTTTTTGATCTCCACATATTTGTGATTTTTTTCTCCTTTCTTTTTGTGGTTGAGTTTCAATTTCAAAGCACTGAGCTTAGGGAATATGCTTGGTATGATTTCAGTTTGTTTGTTTTTTATCCTCACTCAAGGACATTTTTCCATTTTTGTTCAGATAGAGCAGGAGGGAAAGAGAGAGAGAGAAACATTGACATGAAAGGGATACATTGAGTGGATGCCTCCCACATGACCCCAGTCAGAGTCAGGGAGAAACTGCAGCCGAGGTACGTGCCCTTAGCAGGAACCAAACCCGGGTCTCTCTGGACCATGGGCCGACGCTCTAACCTCTGAGCCAAACCGGCCAGGGCTGATTTCAGTTTTTTTAATTTGCGGAACCTAGTTTTGTGTCCCAAGATATGATCTGCTTTTGAGAATGTCCTATGTCAGTAGAGAAAAATGTTTAATTTGGTGTTCTGGAATGAAAGGCTCTGTAAATATCAGTTATGTTCATATTTTCTAATGTGTCATTTAAGACAAATATTTTCTTATTAATTTTCTGTTTGGATTATCAATCCATGGTTGTCAATGAGTAATTTAGTTCCCCGATTATGACTGTGTTTTTCAGTTTCTCTCTTTAGTTCTGTTAGTAGTTGCTTTATATATTTTGGTGTTCCCAAATTGGGTGCATATATATTAATAAGTTTTATATATTTTTAGTATATTTTCCCCTTTATCCATTTTATAATGATCTTTTGTTATCTTTGTCTTTTGTTCCCTTTTTTTGTCTTAAAATCTATTTTGTCAGGTATAAGTATGGCTATATCCAAATTTTTCTCAATGCCCTGTGAACACCTTGATTTCAAACTTTGACCCCTCAGAACTGTAAGATAACATATTCATTTTGTATAAGCCACTTAGTTTATGGCACTTTGTTATGGCAATCCTAGCAAACAAATATAATGCCAGAATGAATATTTGAAAAGGAGAAAATCTTGATATTTGCTTTATGTTGATAACTGTTGTCATACTTTGGAAATTGTTACTTGTTTACATGTTGGATATACATTTTTGGAAATCTACACTTTGTACGTTTCTGAGACTCCAGAAAGATTATCAATAAAAGTAACAGATGACATGCATGAGTTTGGAAAGATGAAGTCTAGAATCTCTTCTGTATCATTTCCCAAGGTGTTACAAAGGTAGATTATAGATATAAATCATCAAGGCTTAGTCTAAGACACAAACCGCAATACAAATCCTTCTCTTGATACTTAAAGAAGATTTATCCTGATTCTCAAATTCTGCATTTATCTTTGGGAGAGTTACACAATGTCGAAACAAATCAATATATGGATAGCATAGCCATAAAATAAAATGAAAAGCTTGGAATTTTTAGCCCTGGCCGGTATTGCTCAGTGGTTAGAGTGTATGCTGGTGGACCAAAGAGTCTTGGATTCTGTTCTGGTCAAGGGCACATACCTTGGTTGTGATTTGGTCCCTGGCACTGGGCAGGGTCATGGGGGAGGCAGCCACAATGTATCTCTCTCACATCAATGTCTCTCTCTCCCCCCTCCCACTCTATTTGAAGATAAATGGAAAAATATTCTTGGGTGAGGATTAAAAAAAAAAAGCTTGGAATTTTTAGCTGTGTGGTTATAGAATGTAATCAGGTCTTCCCTTGTACTTCCACTAAAGAAATTACAACAGATAACTTTTGTTTGGATGGCTTGATCACGATGTTCAAATCCACAATCTATGAGGCAACCAACTTTGAGAGTACAGTTTGGTAAAACGAACCCTGCCGCATGTGAACAGTAACCAATGCCTGGATAAAACCACGGAATAGGATAGCCAGGTGCCTGGTCTGGAGGCTGCAATGAAAGCCTGCCCAGCAGTGGATCCCTTAAAATGTCTCTCTTCCAGAAATATTTTCAGACCAGATTTACAGAATAAATAAGTGGGGATTGAGTGGGCTACTTTAGCATCCATTTCCGCCACATTTATAAGATGCCACAAAAAGGGAAAGTGTTTCCCTGCTCAGCAGGATGTAAGGGTTTGCAGGAATTAAAACTTGAACTCCTGGAGCTGTTCTCTAGCTGTGAGCTGGCTTTCCTATCCAAGGATGTGAAACTACATGCTGGTGAGATGACGCACAAATCCTCACAAGATTGACAGTCTTTCATCAAGAGTCACTGTGACAAATGTTGACAGTAGGTCAATTGACAAAACATGCTTTTGTGAGAGCTGTACTTCTATGATGTGCTTGCACATCCATTATTTTTGCTGAATGTGCTGTCATAATGAAGAGATTTCCAAGAGGTTTTTTCTCTGATTAGAACTGCTAGCCAGTATTCTAAATGATAATAGAGAACTGAATCAGATTCAGTATTACGGAAAAAAAATTATTTATAACAAAAAATACATTTTAAGAAAGTTTAAAGGAAATTAGAACGATGACAATATAATTTGTTATAGTATCAAATTTTGTATAGATTGTATAAACCTTAGTGGGGAAAAGTAACTGATTCAAATACCATTCATTTTATTTTTATTTGTGAGAATCATGGATTTTTTTTTTATTTTCTGGGTGCTTAAATTGAGCTGAATAGAAATAGCTTTTTGCACATAGTTTATTTCTTTCTACATTAAAAATATATGTGTTTGCCCGGCTGGTGTGGCTCAGTGGTTGAGCATTGACCCATGCACCAAGAGGTCACTGGTTCAATTCCTCGTCAGGACACATGCCCAGGTTGTGGGCCCAATCACCAGTGGGGGGCATGCAGGAGGCGGCCAATCAGTGTTCTCTCTCATCGATGTTTCTCTCTCTTTCTTCCTCTCCCTTCCTCTCTCTTTCTAAAATCAAAAAGAAAAAAAGTGCATGTTTTATGGACTGTTGAAATTGTTATTTTTAATTGCCTTCTGAAAATAGTAGGTATGATATAATGTCTGTCCTCAACTGAAAAAGTTAGATATCTCAGTTGCTCTTAGGTCAAATGGCTTGTAGATTTCTCCCCGTCCCAACCCCACCCCACTTACAGGTACACACACACACACACACACACACATTTTTTGCCACATTTTTATTTTTAACTTAACTTGACTCAACTGAATATGCTTAATACCTAAGATTCATACCACTGTACTAAATTTTTTTTTTTTTCACAGCAGTAAGTCTTCAGTTTTAGTATATGATTCCACTCAACAAAAGGCTTGCAGAAGTGATTTACCTTTTGGGTATTTTGGGATGATACATTTAAGGGTGTTTGTAGAAAACCTTTTCACTATATACTCAAAAGGACTACACTGTCAAATGAATATTTAGATTAGACTGAATTATAATGGTGATACGTTGCTTTTCATAAAAAATTAAATTTGACTGAAAATGCAAAGAGGGCCTCCCACAAATAAATCCTAATCCCTATGAATGTTACCTTGTATAGAGATTAAAAAAAAAAAAAAAAAAAGGAGACATTTGCAAATGTAATTAAATTAAGAATTTTGAGGTGGGGAGATGGTTCTGGATTATTTGGATAGACCTTAAATGCAAACACATGTATCTTAAGAGGAGTCAGAGGAGAAGGCCATGTGAAGAGGGAGCAGAGAGAGATTTGAAGATGCTGGCCTTTGAGTTTAAGGTGATCTGGCTGCAGCAAGGAATACTGGCCACCCCTGGATGAAGCAAGGGCTCAGCCATCTTCAACATCCAGAGTGAGCGTGTCTCTTGCTAGTGATAATTTTGGCCCAGTGATACTAATATTGGACTTCAGGCCCATGAACTCTAAGAGAATATATTTTGTTGTTTTAAGGCACAAAATTTGTATTTGTAGTAATTTATTATATCAGCCATGTGAAACTAATACAATCATCTTACAATTTTTTTCTTATTTCTTTCTCTTCCCACTTACTACTACAATTTCTGTACCTGTCTGGAAATTGTCTTCTCTTAGTTGCTGTTATTTCAAAACTTTAATAAGCATTTGTCTCTATTAGGACCAACATAATTATAACTGTAAGTAATGGGAAAATAGCCAGTTTACATATGTAGGTTTTGTGAGTCAAAAATATCACTAGTTCAAGGATACACAGTAATAATTTTAACTGATTTAAATGTAGATTTAGATAACACAAATGACATTATTCTTTGTACTATAACTACAGAATATCACAAATTACAACCGAGTGATGCCATACATATTTTCTATATATTTATAAATTATTATCCAGCCAACTAATACACATATCTCTTATCCTGAGACCTAGATGTAGATACATGAGTGATGCAAGAAATGATAAAGCCCTATGAAATCCATCCCCAATATGTTCGCGAACAACCTGAACTCCAACATTTTGAAGTCTTGAAACATATATAAGTCCATCATCTCTCAGTAAATCATGTTCACAGGTAATAATATAGGTTGATGGCAAATTCTATAACTGAGAATCATTGGCCAATAAGGGTGACAATCTAATATCCATTAGAGCTGGCAATGAAAAATTACTTCTTCCAAGAACTGGCTCAGTATAAACATAGTTCTTTCTATACTTCTTGGGTAAGAGAATACTCCAGTTAACAAACTTGAACAAATGTCTTGATTCCAGAGGCATATGTTGGTTACTTCTCACTGCCTGGAGAAATGTCTCAATATCAGGGATATATAAATCCAGAGATTTTATGGCCATGTTCCTTGTCAGCAAGATACCATACTCATTGTCTCTGTAAGATGGCATATAAGAATCACGATCTGTAAGTGAGGGTAAATTAAAGCTTGTGCCTTGATTTTGTGTTTTATTTCAAGATCATTCTGCAGCTGAAAAAAATATGATAATATCTTGTAAGGCAAAAGACTTCCAACACACCAGGAACAGGAAATTTAATTTTATTAGTTTAAACAATCTCAAGATCAACAAATCTACATAAATTGATGTGATGTTATAATTATTTTCACAATATAACTTGTGGCATGAAAAAAATATAAGCTGATTTTAACAGTAAATTTATAAAAATTTTGGTTCTTTGTGTGAGAGAAAGAAAGATACAAACTCCCAGTTACAGGATAGGTAAGTTCTAGGGATGTAATGTATAGCATGGTGACTATAGTTATTAATACTGTACTGTATATTTGAAGTTGCTAAAATGATAGGTCTCAAGTTCTGATCACATGAAAAAAAATGTAATTATGTGAAGTGATGGGAGTTAACTAGACTTGTGGGATCCACAATGTATACATATATGAAATCATTTTCTTGTATACCTGAAACTAATATAATGTTATATGTCAGTTATGTCTCAATTAAAAAATTAAGACATATGGCAGGATTTTAGGCCCTACTGGGCTATACCCAAGAGTGATTTGAAAGATGGAAAAGCAATCACAGTGAGCTTCAATCTGAGGTATTGACAGAAGTAACAGCAACGTGGCTTCATGACCACAATAATAGCACTATCTATTGTTAGATTTGCTCTAGCAAATTGGGTGCCTTATCATCAATTGAGTTAGTGCACAAAATGAGTTTTGTAGAGTAGGCAACAGGGAAAGAAAAAAGAGAGAGAGAGCCCGGCTGGTGTGGCTCAGTGGTTGAGCGTCGACCCATGCACCAAGAGGTTGCCAATTCCATTCCCAGTCAGGGCATATGCCCAGGTTGTGGGCCCGATCCCCAACTAAGGGCATGCAGGAGGCCAACTGATGTTTTTTTTCTCTCTCTCTCTCCCTTCCTCTCTGTCTCTAATCAATAAAGAAAACAAAATAAAAAGACACACACACACACACACATGCACAGACATAAAATAAAGTTATTGTCAAAAATCACCAATGGGGGAAAAAACCAAATACTATATTCTTGGGAGAAATTGAGAGTATCATAACTTTGTAAAAGTTCTTGACTGAAAAACAAAACAAAACAAAACCAAAAAACAACAACATCCAGTCAAGATGACAGAGTAGATTGCTTTCTCCCACTATCACATCAAAGTTACAGCTAAACTGTGGAACAGCCATCACTGAGAACCACCTGAATACTAGCTGAAGAGAATTCCTATAGCTAATGACATAAAGCAGAAATCACATCGAGATGAGTAGGAGGAGTGGAGATGCAGAAAGGGCAGGTCCCACACCCAAGTGTCATGAGTAAACAGGAGGGATATCTCAGTCCCAGCCTCACTTGGGGCTCCTAAATTCAGTGCTGGGAAGAGGAGACCCCATGACACCTGGCTATGAATACCAGTGGGGATTGCATACCAGACAGACAAAAGTCTTTGGGGTTGGGGGCAAGACTAGACATGCTGCTCTTAAAGGGCCAGTACAAACTTTCATTCACTCTAAGCTCCAGCACAGAGGCCAAGTGACAGGAACATGTGAGAAGAATTAAGCTGACTAACTTCTAGGTGAGAGCAGGGCAGAGAGTGAGGCATTCTCTCCAGGGACAGAATCGCTGGCACCATTGTTCCTTTGTTGACCTCTCCTCCCAGCAGCTGGTCCAGTGCAGGAAGGTGCTAAATTCATGCTCTCTGTTGACCTAGCAAATATACATCATCCTACACCCATGACTCACTTGGACCCCACTCAACTGAGCCTCTTCTAGAAGCTCCTCTATGGGAGAGGCCTGCCTTGGTTCATGCTGCCGACACACCCTAAGGACTGAAAACTGTGTATGAGTGCTAGATTCCCTAGGCTTTGCTGCACACTTTTTCAGAAGGTCACAAATTCCATGTAAGTGGTTGCTCTTGGCTCATAATCCAGACTTTTTCAAGGTCCAAAAACCCCACACAAGTAGCAACAGGCCTTGGTCTAAACTATAGCTCCTCCCAAATGGCCAAAAGTTTAATACAAGTGATGACCAGTCCCAATTTGTATTTTCACTCCCTTCAGGTGGCCCCATACTAGGCATAAGTGACAGCCAGTCTTGGCCTGTAACATAACTCCAACTAAGCAGCCACAAACCCAGCACAAATGCCAACTGGCCTCAGATTGCGTCATTGCGTCCACCAAAAGTTCTCAAGTCCAGCACAAGTGGCAGCTGGCCTCAGTTTGCAGCATAGCCCCTCCCAAACACATTCAAATCAAGCACAAGTGGCAGCCAAATACAGACCACTTTGTGGCTCCTGCCAAGCAGCCCCAGGCTTTAAACCAGCAGTGGCTGGCCTCGGTGTATACCAGAGCTCCTCCCAAGAGGTTTTCGACCCAACAAACACAAGGAAAGGCTTCAGACTGCAGCAGAACTCCACCCACTGACACAACCAAAGGGAAGAATTGGCTGGCACCAGAGCCCTGCTAAAGTGACTCTCACTCCATGGGGTCAGCCCTGCACAACAACTCATCTACTGTAGCCATGGCTGTTCCTCACAGCCAGTCAGCCTGAGGGTCAGCCCATCCACTGAAGTGCTAGCAGCAAGCAAAGCCCAAGTACAACAGGAGGGTACACACCACACACACAGGTGACAAACCAACATAATTAAAACTTGACAATGACTTCACAATGCCCTTTGAGTTAAGTAAAAAATAAGTAAATCAATCAATCACAAGGTCTTTGAATGATTTACCCTTGTCAAACTTTCTAAACTCATTGTTTACTGTACTCTTCTCTAATGTAACATTTGTGGTCTTTCTTTCTTTCTTTCTTTCTTTCTTTCTTTCTTTCCTTCCTTCCTTCCTTCCTTCCTTCCTTCCTTCCTTCCTTCCTTCCTTCCTTCCTTCCTTCCTTCCTTCCTTCCTTCCTTCCTTCCTTCCTTCTTCTTCTTCTTCTTCTTCTTCTTCTTCTTCTTCTTCTTCTTCTTCTTCTTCTTCTTCTTCTCTCTCTCTCTCTCTCTCCCTTCCTCACTCCTTTTTTTCTTTCTTGCTTCCTCTCTTTCTTTTTCTTCTTTCTTTCTCTCTCTCTCTCCTTTCTTTCTTTCTTTCTTTTTCTTTCTTTCTTTCTTTTTCTTTCTTCTTTCTTTCTTTCTCTCTTTCTTCTTCCCTCCCTCCCTCCCTCTCTTCTTTCTCTCTCTCTCTCTCTCTCTCTCTCTCTCTCTCTCTCTTTCTCTCTTTTTTTCTTTCTTCTCTCGCACTGAGAGTCAAGGAAGGAAACAGTGACACTGTAAACAGGAAGGGGAAAAATGAATCCACCTACACTCATCTCAGACAAATAGTAATACCAACCTAATTTCAAAGATGAGTCATCAGTTGCTGCTCCAAGGGTGTACATTTCTTCTTAACAAAGACACATTGAGGATACGTTGTGAAATCGTGTTATGTTGGAAATGGGACGGGTTAAATAAAGTAAGGTAATCAAGTAAAACAGCTTGAAGAGAGATGGAGATCAAACCCTAGGGAATTCTAAAAGGTGGAGAAAGAAGACAAGAGGTGAATGGGTACAATGTCAGTGTTTGGCATTAAAAAAATATATCTGTTGTCTTATATTTGAAAACACTTAGAGTCTAATTGGAGAAATTCACATGCAACAAATAGAAGGACAATCCCTATATGGTAATTGTTTTTAAACTGATTCAGGTAATATAGAGGTAACACAGAAGAGGTTTGCCTGGAAGAGAGTTTCTGGAGCTTATAAAACATCCAGGTGGATGAATCTATTGGGGTATATGGGTTTTGAGCTCAGGACAGTAGTATCAGTGGATGACACAGATCCCTTCAGCAGATTAATCAGAGCTGATCCATGAAACCATGGAGAGAGTGGGATAAAAAACAGAATGACCAAATTGTTGAACACTTGGAAATGCCAAGGAGTGCAAAAAGGAGTGTGTCTGGCTCAGTGGTTAAGGTTTCAGCCTGCGCACCAAAGGTCATTGTTTCGATTCCTGGTCCAAAGCATGTATTCACATCGCAGGTTCGATCCCTGCCCCGGTTGGGGTGTGTGTGAGAGACAACTCACTGATGTGTCTCTCTCATGCTGATGTGTCTCTCTCTCTCTTTCTCCTTCCCTTCTTCCACTCTCTAAAAATCAATGGAAAAAGTATCCTTGGATGAGGATTAACAAAAAATAAAAATAAAAAAAAGAAGAAGAAAAAAGAAAGAGCAAATAAAGTTAGAAATTTTTAAGGTACAGCAAATAAATAAAATAATTTTTAGAAAAAGATCCCTAAGGAGGTGGAAAGTGGGAGGCAGGAAACCAAGCAGAGATGGTGGGATGATTTCAGATGGAAAAAGAAATGAGGGAGAGGACAACAGTAACTGGCGCAGAGGAATTTTGTTTGCTTGTTAATTATGGAGGAGAAAATGCAGGATTTAAAAGAAGTGTGTATCTGGTGTCTATTTGCCCATTATCTCTGTAAGAAAATATATTTCATTTTATGGACAATAGACTTTGAAATAAACTTGTGAATTAAAACTAATTTCAAATTGAATGTCTCTTGGAAGAGAAAAGAAGACCTGGGAAAGAGAGGAGACAGAGAAATAGGAATAAAGTTTTACATATTATTATTATTATTATTGTTATTATTTTATCCTCACCTGAGGACATTTTTTGCATTTATCTTCAGATAGAGCGGGAGGGAGAGAGGGGTAAAGAGAGAGAGAGAAACATTGATGTGAGAGAGACACATCGACTGGTTGCCACCCACACAACCCCAACCGGGCCGGAGACAAACTGCAACCGAGGTACATGCCCTTAGAGGAAACCGAACCCGGGTCTCTCTGGTCTGCGGGCCAATGCTCTAACCACTGAGCCAAACCAGCCAGGGCAATTATTCTTGATCAAGCTAACATAAATGTTTCTTAGCTTAAAACTTATGTGGAAAAAAACTGACAGCTTAAGAAAAATAATGCCTCATTAAAAGCATCTTCAACAAATTATGAACCAACTGGAATCTAAATTTCTA